CTGGTTTGATGTGGAAAGGATAGGAGCTCCACAAGGACCAAACATATCTGGGCACAGGGTCTTTTCTGAGATGGACACTCAACCAAAGACCATGAGAGGATAAAACCTAGAACCTCTGCTCGGATGTGACCCGTGATAGCTCAGTAATCAACTGGTTTCCCATAGTAAGGGGAACAAGAACTATTTCTAACAGGAACTCAATGACTGTCTCTTTGACCTCCCCACCTCCCAAGGGAGGAGCAGTACTGTTAGGCCACAGAGGAGGACTTTGCAGCCAGTCCTGAAAATACCTGACAAAACGGAGTCATATGAAAGGGGAGGAGGTCCTCCCCTATCAGTGGACTTGGAAAGGGGCAGGGAGGAGATGAGGGAGGGAGGGTGGGACTGGGGAGGGAATGAGGGATACAGAATTAACAAAATGTAACTAATGAGAAAAATAAAATTAAAAAAAATGTACAACTGGCCTCCAAAACAACAATAATTTATATTTCTGTTAACAATCTGTTTCCACACAGCACTATTTTCCGATTTTTGTCATCTCTACCAACAAAACAGAATATCTTCCCTATCTGCAGTTCTGTGGTTTTCAAGAATTGTTACCAGAGGTTAAATATGGTCTAAAATTTTAAACGGAAAGTTCCAGAGTGCTGGGATTAAAGACGTGTGCCACCAAGCCTGGCTGTATGATGAAATCTTAACACTATCCTACACTACCTGCCCTGGACATGAGTCATTCCTTCCTGCAGCCTATCAATGCTATACATACTATGGAGCTACAGGTCAGTCAGTAACCATTTTTGTCAACTAGACTGATGACCTTGGTATCACAGGGCTCTATTCAAGGAACTATAACAATGTCCTAATGTTTCATAACAATATCCTAACACTTCACTACATCACATAGGCACTGTATTATCTCAATCACAAAGTCCAGAATAAGGTTATTTTGAGAGAAACTATGTTCACCTAACTTTTGCTTTGTAACATCAGCTTATCTACCTATCTGTCTGTCTGTCAGTGCTGTATCTGCGTGTATTCCTGCATGCCAGAAGAGGACATCAGATCCCATTATACATGGTTGTGAGCCACCACGTGGTTGAACTCAGGACCTATGGAAGCACAGCCAGTGCTCTTAACCCTTGAGCCATCTCTCCAGCCCCACTAATATCAGTTCTTATAAATGTAAACAAACATAAACATATACACTTGGTTTGACACTGTCTTAGAACAGCTGTTGCAGATTAAGGGTTATACCATATTGGCTATTTGTATTTCTTCTCATTTTCTTGTCTGTTCTTCTGCTCATTTTTCTTTTTTCTTTTTTTGAGTCAGGATTTCTCTGTATAGCCTTGGCTGTCCTTGCTGGACTCGTATACCAGGCTGACCTTGAACTCAGAGATCTTCCTGCCTTTGCCTTCAAAAGTGCTGGGATTACAGGTGTGTGCCACCATGCCTGGCTTCCACTGGGTTTTATAACTGGGTTTTATAGTCATCAAACAAAATTTTCAAAAATTTGTTTGCCTTTAGCCCTGGCTTCTAGTAACTTTTTGGCTTAATTTTGCAGGTCACACATTTTATACATCTAAAAGTATTAATCTTTCTTTTTCTGGCTTCTGGCCGGCCTGATGTATTTAGAAGAGCTTTTCCTAGGTAAGATTTAAAAGTATAGTCAATGATGTTTTCTTCTTGGACTTCTGTGATATAATTCTTTTACTAAGATTTTTATTAGCATATTTTGATCTGACAATTTCACGCATGCACACAATGTACATATTTGTACTACTATCTCCATTTTTCCATTTTATTCCCCTCCCACTAATTCCATTCTTCTTCCCAGTCTTCCCTCTATTTTCATATCTTTTTTAAAAAATAAGTTTAGTTAGGATTGCTTATGGGAATGTAAGAAGTGGGTGGCAATACTTTACCATTGAACAAAATGTCTTTCCCTTTCCTTGCCCCAGCAACTTTTGCTAGGGCCTCAGTGAGGGACAAGGTCTCCTGAGCCCTGTACCCAATATGAGTCAGTGTTGGCAGGCCCAATCTGGTATGTCTTGTGCAGACAAATGTTTTATATATAATTTTTTTTAATATGCAGTGGTGTTTTGCCTGCATGTGTGTCTGGTATGAGGGTGTCAGATTCCTGGGACTGGAGTTGCAGAAGTTTCAAGCTGCCATGTGGGTGCTGGGATTTAAACCTACATCTTCTGGAGGAGCAGCCAGTGCTATTAACCACTGAGCCATTTCTTTGTTCCTATGATATAGTTTTTTAACATTGAAATTTGGGTCCTTTTGTGGACTGAAAAGATGGCTTGGTAATTAAAGGCACTTTGCCACCAAGCCTGAAAAACCCATAGGATGACTCCTGCAAATTGCCTTTTGACTTGTACAAGTACTCAGTGGCATGTGCATCCACGTGTCAATCAAAAATTAAAGAAATGTCAATCAAAACTTAAAAGCATTTTTGGCCCACTTCAAACTTATTTTGGTGCTCAAAATGGGCATCATTATTTTTACCTAAATTACTAGAAGCTTGCCCAATACCAATTCATGTTTAAAGAGCTGATATGAGATACCACCAAAACATTTTGTTTCTTTTGAGACAGTCTCATATAACCTAGGTTAACCTCTAATGCAGCATGTAGGAAGACCTTGAGTTGTTTTTTTTTTGTTGTTGTTGTTGTTGTTGTTTTTTGTAGACCAGGCTAGCCTCGAACTCACAGAGATCAGCCTGCCTCAATCTCTGCTGGGATTACAGGCATATGGCATTACCCTTATCCCCCACCCCCACCCCCAGCGACGAACTTTTTTATTTTGTTTTAATTTCCTGAGTGCTGGGATTACAGGCACATTGTCACCATGTCACTGCCTTTCCGATGACTTGTTTTGTTTTGTTCTGAGGACCAGACAACCAGGGCCTCATGCAGGTATTCTACTAACTATGCTACATCCTTAACCCCTTCAAAGAAATTGAAAACATTTTGTCATGATGATTTCACATGACAGAGCTATATTTTTATGTTCCATCCATCCTTGTGTATGCTTGTTTTCATTTTGTGTACATGCAATGTGTACTCTGCCTTCCCCCGTTTCTTAATTAGAAAGTCTTAATCACATTAATGATGACATTGACCTATTACTCCGTTATGCGACAATGAACTCAAGCATCACAGTACAGGGGTTTATAGTTTTCAGCTTTTGGGACATATTTTTTGATTAAGGGCAGATTTTTGGGAAAAGCGTATAACCTCCTTTGAGTATTGAATGGCTCTTAACGGAATACACTTCGACTTAACAGTTTATTGTACCTAAGCACCCTCGTTTAGAGGAGTAGATCTGGAGTCCTGTCCTATTAGGATCCGAAATGAGTTTCCTTAAGAGTAGGAAAAGGCTAAAAAGCAGTAATAAGCATTTAAAAACAGTATTTGAGTAGCGCTGTCCAACCATTTTCTTATTTTCTCTTCAGTAACCTTAGTAGGTAAATTAAACTTTGCCAGAGTGAGGAAAAAAAAACCAAGGGTGGTATCAATGATAGCTGAGTCTAACACTTGGCGGCTCCTCATCCAGGGTCCTTTCATACTCTTGCAGGACGACGACAAATACGCGCAGTCTGAGGAGCTATAAATAATTTCCAGACCCTTAAGGCATCCTCAGTTTACCTCTGCCGACCTCTTTCCCACAAGGCTGGCCTAGGGGTCTCCAGAAAGGGATGCCGAGGCCGTCATCATCCCTAGGCCGCCCAGCGCCCTGCCGGCCCGATCGACCCGACCTGTCCTTACCTGAGGCCAGAGGCCGCCAGGTATCCAAGGCCGCGCGCCGAGAAGGCGTGGCTGTGGGTCCCGAGCTACTTCCGCCGCGGCGTGATGACGACAGAGCGACAGAACGGCTGTACCAGTAGGCAGTGAACGCAGCGGGCTGTTGGGTAGGGGGCGGGGCTAGCGCTTGGCTGGTTGAGGCAGCGAGAACTCACTTTTTAATAAGAAAAACAACAGCTAGCAACTTCTGTTAAAGATCGATAAAGATGTAGGACCTCAGGCCGCAAGCTCGGGTCTCCCTGAGGACGAAGACTCTGTGCCACGCCCCGGTCTGGCTCCAGGATGCAGGCGCCGGGTGTCTGGGCAGGCTCTGCAGGGCGGCAGAATGAGAAGATTGGGAACCCAGGAGTCCTGAAATGTCGTGTCTTACCAAAATTTAGAAATAGAAACTGCCGTAGGGAGTTGTGAGGGGTCGGAGATGTAGTAGAGCTGGGAGAGCGTTTGGGGCAGAGGGAGGTGCTTGTGCAAACGATTGCCATGGAAATGGGAAACACGCATCCACAGACACCCTTCTCTTCAGGAGAGCACTCTGCCTTCACCGAGAGGTGAATATCAAACCCAGAACCTTCCACATCATGTGCTCTACCAGTGAGTTAATCCCTAGCTCGGACGAGTTTCTAGAGGAGTGCTGCATGGCATGCAAAATTGAATACAGCCTGCAATTAAGGATGCAAATGAAAGCGATCTGCAGTTGGGCAAGTCCCAGGATCATTCCGTACAGTAAGTGTACTAGAAGTGCTAGTATGACGAGAAAGAGAGCACCTCCCAGAGTCCACTGTACCAGGTTACAGAAGGGCCTCGAGGTTTTTAGAATCAGCTGCTCCAAAATCCGGTTTCTGACTATGACTTGTATCCGGTGAATTTGGACGTGCTGTTTGACCGGAGTGTTGTACCGGTAAATTGAGAATGGCTCCTAAGTGCTTATTATGAGGGTTGTTCGTGATGCTTATAAAACTTGGAATGGGGCCAGCGAGATGGCTTAGCTGGTAAAAAGGCACTTGCTGCTGAGCCTGACAACCTGAGTTAAATCCCCGAATCCCACATAATGGAAGTAGAGAACAGTTTTCTCTGAGTTGTCCTCTGACCTCTGTATTTATCCTGTGGTGTGGTTATGCACGTGCACACGCACATACAAATACGAATTTTTAAATGGTATATTTTCAATAAATATAGATATAACACAATCAGTACTTGTTCTTCATTTTTATTTTCTATCCTGGTGAAACATTCTGTGACTTTACAATCATAGAACAGAACCAGCTGATTGTGGACTTTCCACAGCATGTCCAGGTTTCTGACAGTTAACGCTTCTGTAACAGGAAAGATTTGTGCTCTTCTTGTGTCCCACCTCTAGCAGTTAACTCATACTAGGTAAGATGGAAATCAGTTCTCTTGACTCAGCTTTGATCTCTAATAGATCGTACTGGTGTTTTGTTTTCTTTTCATGTGTCCCAGCCTTGCCTTCCCCCTTAATTCCTAGGGCTGGCAACAGAGGGGACAAAACTGAGAGGAAAAGAGTAGGGGCCAAGTATAGAGGAAAAGTCAGTAAAAAAAAAAATTACTAGTATAATAGCGCACACCTGTAATCCCAGCACTCAGGAAGGCAGAGGCAGGCGGATCTCTGAGTTTGAGGCCAGCCTGGTCTACAAAGGGAGTCCAGGACAGCCAAGACTACACAGAGAAACCTTGTCTTGAAAAACAAACAAAAAACAAAACAAAAATCACCAGCATAAAGTGAGTCAAAGAAAGTCCTCCCATTGTCCCCAAATTAGCAAGCTAATGAGGCCACCTTGAAGTATGCAAACAACTGGGTGCTTGGTTACTGTTCCTGTCAGCCTGAGCCCTGCACTATTCTTTTGTGTGATGAAAAATACTTCCCTCTTCTTTGAGTCATTAAAGAAGTTGTGCCCAGAGTTTGTGGAAAAGAAACTGAAATAAAGCAGAATAATCTATCCCACATGGGCTATGTTCTGAGCATGCATTATGTGTCCACATTCTGGCTAGCCAGAATTACCTTTTGAAATGACTAATCTGAACACCTGGAGCTTAGTAGCTAGCCAGATCAGCCTGCAAGATCTGATTCTGTACTTGAGGTAAAGCACATGAACTTGATAACCAGGCCAAGACCAGGAGTGAGGGTCTCTCCAAGACCCCTTATCACTCTCTTGTTTGTTCTAGCCAATTTTTGCCTTGATGTAGGAGATTTTCTTTTTTTGAGATATGGTCTCACTGTGTCTCCTTGACTGCCTGGAACTTACTTTGTAGACCAGGCTGCCCTGGAACTTATAGTTCCACTCATCTCTGCTTCCCTGATTTTCAGGGCATGTGCACTGTGCCCATTTCTGATGAGAGATGGTGACTCATTTCTTGGTCCTAAAAGCATGAAGGAGTGGACCTGTTCAAAGGTTAAAGGGTAGAGACAGCCCTATGTCAAATATAGTTACCAGCCCAGTGGTGTGGCCTTCAAGCAAGGAGCAGTTTCTCTGCCCTTGTCTCTTCACTGGCAAAAGAAGGGGGAGTAATTACTACGTTAGAGTCATTTGGATGAAGATTGCTAACAACGGGAACATTTGCTCCACAATTCACCCAAGAGAAGTGTTCTTTGGACAGCTAAGTAAAAAGGGAGTGTGTTAAGAGATTGTGAAATCTTCAAAGAAAAGCTTGAGGCTTACAGGAGCAGTGCTGGAGCCCTGGGATACTGGGGGCTGGCTGCTGCAGTCTGCACCGGTGCCCCTTCCACCAGAGAGACTCAAAGAGAGTTCGAAGTCCCATCCTTGGGCCCAGGTTTGGCACAGATGCAACTTGGACCACATATCTCAATTGAACTAAGGGGTGGATGAAGTCCACCCCTATTCAAATGGAGGTCGTCACTTCCCTCCCCCCCAGTGGTGGCTCAAAAGTAGGGAATTCCTTCAATGTTGAAAGGTGTTGAGGCTGCCAAATGCAGTAACAGATATCCAAAAAATCCATTCCTGTCCATTCCTCCTCTTCTCTTGCTTAGAACAGAAAAGTGATTATGGGTACCAGGAACTGCTTTGTGATCATGTAACCCAATACTCAACGCTACTACAGTTTGGTTCTGAAGTGTTTTCTGAGGGTTCCTGTGTTCAGCTGATAAGGCCTTGGATTGGATCTTGAGGGCTCAGGCTTCATCAGTGATTTAGTCCATTCACAGAGTCATAATTTTATAGCATGGAGAGGTGATGATAACTAAGAGGTGGGCCCCTTGGAGGGAGTATGTCACTTGGGAATATCATATCTGAAGGGTATATCTTATTCCTGCTCCAGTCTTTTGTTTCTGCTTCTTGGGAGGCATAAGGTAAGCTGTACTCCACCAAGATGAATCAGCTTTGCCTAAAGCCCACAGCAATGGGGTCAGCCAACCAGGGACTGAAACATCTGACACTGTGACCCCAAATAGATCGTCTTTCCATTACTCTTCTTGAATATTTTGTCACAGCAGCAACAGGAACTAAACACAGAAGTCCTTTCCCAAGAAGGGCAAATCAGAACTGCAAACAACTGGGTGCTTGGTTACTGTTCCTGCCAGCCTGAGCCCTGCACTGTTCTTTTGTGTGATGGAAAATACTTCCCTCTTCTTTGAGTCATCAAACTCACTCTGCCTTACTGGCAGCAGAAGGTAGTCCCCGCAGTTGCCAGCTGGTCTTGGTGGTTTCACAAGTCCTTGTCTCTTAAGAGTCCAAGATGTCACCATCATCCTGTGCATAGGAAAATCCGAGGAATGCACTTGAGGCCCCATAACTGCTGGCCATGGTATCAGGGGTGCAGCCAATGGACTTGGACACAGCTTCCTGGGTGAACTCTGGATCAAAGTGTTTCAAGTCAGCGGGCCCTTCCTGTCAGTAGAAGCCAAGGATGAGACGGAGGAACAGGGGATCAGCGTCAACTAAGAATCACAGAAGCGGGAGAGGGACGTCGCGCCTTCCCCACTGAGTATCTCTTGGTCATTCCTATTTAACAGTCACTATCTCACACCCCACACCAATCCTCAGATAAGTCATTGGTCACGTCTACTTCCTAAATGCTTACCAAGTCTCAGCTCATTGCGCTGGGAATATGGGAGGACAGAGCAGAGCAAGCCTCTACTTTCAAGGACCTTAGATGATGGAGGAGGAAACAGAAAGGTCATTTAGGGGACTGGTAAGTCCTAGATAATAGAGACAAAAATAGGGGAATATGGTAGAGACACTGGGGCTGCTCAGCTATATTGGAGGGAGATCTATATGGGAAATGGCAAAAAAAAAAAAAAAAGAAAAAAATCACAAAAGACTGAGCATGGTAGTGCACACCTGAAATCCTAGCTCTTTGGAGGTGGAGTCAGGAGGATCAGAACTTCGAGATTATCCTCAGCTATATGATAAGTTTGAGGTTATCTTTAAGAAGACAGGATGCTGGACATAGTGGTGCACACCTTTAATCCCAGCGTTCGGAAGGCAGAGACAGGTGGTTCTCTTGAGTGTGAGGCCAGCCTGGTTTACCTGCGTAAAGAGTTCCAGGACAGCCAGGGATATGTAGTCAGACCCCATCTCAAACAAACAAACAAAAACTCATAAAATGAAAACAAAGAAAGAAAAGAAAAAGGAAAGAAGAAAGGAAGGAAGGAAGAAAGGAAGGAAGGAAGGAAGGAAAGAAGGAAGGAAAGAAGAAAAGAAGGAAATAATAGATTCTCCATTTCCACTCCAGAGATAAGATGTATGTCTCCATCTTTTTAACATGGCCAGTCATGTGACTGCCCAATCAGACTACCAAATGATCACGAAGAAGCCTGTAAAAGGTATTTTGGGAGTTGTGGCTCTTGGTACTTGAGGCCACCATGTACTCAAACTCAGACTGGCTTGATGGAGGTAGAGAGGACTCGAAGGGGGGGGATCAAGTAAGACAATTGCAGACCACCAGTGTGAGCTGCTTCACTGCTAACCACAGACTGAGGCTCCACAGAGAACAGTTGGCCTGATCTGCTCTGCAAACCCGATAGAATCCAGAGAGAAGCTTGACATTCAGGGCCTGGAGAGATGGCTCTGCAGTGACCAGTGCTTGCTGCTCTCACAGAGGACCCAAGTCTGGGTCCCAGCACCCTTTGGGAAGCTACCACAACCACATGTGACTCCATGCCCTCTCCTGACCTCATCTGGCACCTACACCACACCCACCTGCACATACCCACCTACATTCATACAAATAATTATTAAATAAATAAAGAAAATCTTTTTTTTTAAGTTGTTGTCTGAAACTCCCTACTTTAGAAGGCAGGAGCAAACCAATACTGGTGTTTCTGCAGGGGAGAAGATACTGCAAGTTGTGGAAGGGTCTGCAGATCTGCTTTAGCAAGCAGGTCTTGGACTGAGGCTTCCAGCTTCTCAGGATGTCCACAGGGTCAGTGGTCCAGCCCAGGGCTCAGAGTTCCCGGAAAAGAATGTGAATCCCACCCATGCTCCTCGTCTAACCTTGTTAGCTGTGTAGATCTCGACAACCAAACGGTTTCTGTTTTTGACAAATAAAGGATATGGTACTGAGAAAATGTACACAAGGCCTCATAAGTGACAGCAGAACCAGGAATCCTTCAGGGCGTCTTACTGTGATACGCAAACATTGTTATATTTTCCTGTATCTCTTTCCTAGGACTCTATTTTCACTCTTCCTTGTGAGCCAAAGTTCCTGAAAAGAACTGCACCTGCCAAAGGTCTGATTAACTGATTAAAACATCAGTAATTGGGGGCTGGAGGGATGGCTCAGTGGTTAAGAGCGCTGGCAGCTCTTCCAGAAGACCCAGGTTCAATTCCCAGCACCCACATGGAAGCTCGCTAACTGTAACTGTAGTCCAGGGGATCTGCATTCGGAAGAGTACGTAGGAGCATCTTGAGCTGAAGGCTAGCCTGGGCTACCATGTCTCAAAAATAAATACTGCATCAGCTCTGTGGGGTTATGATGCTGAAGATAAAAGATGAAGGAGCAGCTCAGGACCCATCCTTCTAAGGCTGAGCTAGCTGTCAGAGGCTAGGGCAGCTAGAACCAGTTTTGATTCTCACTGCCTTGCACGAATCACTGAGACCCCTGGCCACTCGGCTTTACCAGCTGTATAAAGAGAGCTGGCCTAGATCCTACCTGGAAATCCAGTCTCCAAAATCTGGAGAGAACTCCGAGCTCACTTACCACGTTTGGGTTGAAGGGTGGAGTCAGCCTTTTGTGGTACAGATCATCCCAGTTTATGGGACTGAAGAACACGTGGTTCTTTATTTCAAGCTGCAGGAAGAAGACATTATTCAGGAACCGTCCTCGCCGTGGCTGCTCCCTAAATGGTACTCACTCCTGGCCGCCAACTAGACAGACCTCTGCAGCTATGGCCGACAGACATCTTATCTCACCTCCCACGTCATCTGAACCCAAAGTGTTCTTCCCTACAGCACAGGTGCCCTCCACAGTGAGATCGCAGCACCCACACTATCCCAGCCTCTGAGGCATGCCTGTGAGCAAGACTGCAGAACTGATTGGAGAGAGGCAGGGTGTGCAGGGGTATGCTCTTGAAGACAGTCTCCCACCTCCACACACATTAATACGACTTGATTCTCCCAGAATGCTATCCAGGGAAATAGAACAAACCCACTCACCCACAAAGGCATGAGAAATAACACCCCCACCACCCAAGAAAAACAGATTTTCAGAGACCCAGAAGTGAGGAATGAGTGCTGGACATGATTCCCCACTTCTTTCCTAAACCTCCTTCCCTCCCAGCAGGTTCCTCCGTCTGTTTCACATTGAACAATTCTCCACCTCCTTGCATCAGTATTGCCTTCCAGAGGTCTGATTTATGTGAGCTCACGATTTATCTAAAGAGTCACAGGCATGTCCTAAGATGCAAACTCCTCTTTGGAAGGAAGGGATCTGTCTTCACAGAAGTCTGGATCTTTAAGCTGGCTGGGGGAATGGATAGGCAAATAGCTAAAGGGTTCTCATAGGTCACAGTACCTATGAGTACCTATGCTGTGGCATAGGTCACAGCACGGAGGTCTTTTAGTGTATATAATGCTTACAAAATCTCATTCCATGCAAGACATAGGACAAAAAGCTGTGCGACCTGTAGTCTGTGTGTGTGTGTGTGTGTGTGTGTGTGGCAGGGAAGTTGTTTCCTTCTCAATTTAAACAGGGTCTTACTATACAGCCCTGGCAGGCCTAAAACTCACAGAGATCTGCCCGCCTCTGGTACATGTGGAGGTCAGCTCTCTTCTTTTGCCACGTGGATCCTGGGGACCAAACTCAGGCTGTCGGCTTAGTAGCAGGCTCCTTACACCCAAACTACCTTGATGGCCCCCAAACAGTGTTACATTGAGTAATGAATAAGATTATTTTTAATTTTTTTTTAATGTGTGTGTCAAGGGAACAGACTACGAATTCTATGAATTATTCATCTCCATATCTGAGGTGTCCAGCCGGGCATATGGTAAAGTGAATTGTTCAGATTCCCGTGAAAAGCAGCATATTTCTGCAGGTCGTCTGCACAGACGCAGGAGAAAGCTTCTAAAAGCTTAGATCATGCTGTTCCGCTGCTCAGCAAACACGTTCCACTTCCTGCCGTTCTCCTCCTTGCTCAGACCACAGGACTTCTGCACATGTTGTCCCTATGGCTGGTGACCCTTCAGCCAGTTCTTTGCATGGCTCCTCATTTCCCAGTTCAGATTGTCACCTCCTTAGATCTGCCTGGCCACACCAGTGTGAAATGGAACCATTCCCATACACTCTTATTGTCCGTCTCTGCTCACTGTTCATTTTCTTCCTGAAATTTGTCACACTTGTGATAATTATACAGAATCTCTAGTTTTTTTGTCAGTCATTTTCCACCTTCAAGCTTACTCGAGGTCAGAGACCCAGGCTTTTGAATCTATAGCACCTACCTAGCTTAGTGCTGGTTCAAAATAAGGGTTCAGCACTATTAGTTGGAAAAAAAAATCTATTTTTTAAAAAGTAGTCAGGGGCTTACTTGGTAAAGTGCTTGGTGGACAAGCATGAGGACCTGAGTCTGGATGGCTAGCATTTATGTAAAAGCTGAGAAGGAGGGCATATTCTGTGATCTCAGAGCTGAGGCAGCAAAGACAGGAGGATCCCTGGGGTTCACTGGGCAGCCAGGCTAGCCAGTTAGTGAGCTTCAGGTTTGGTAAGAGACCCTGCTCCAAATAATGAAGTGGACAGGTGGAGAAGAAGCTTTTCATCAACCTCTGACACACACACACACACACACAAACACACACACACACACACACACACACACACACACACACACACACACA